ACCTATCAAAATACTAATGATTAATAACCACTTAATGGCTCTCCCTTTCCAGACTTCCTTTTAACAAAACTTCTTAAGATCTCTGTGGCAGACCTTTTAAGAAATCTGGGTAATCTAAAAATCTAAAATCTGTGATACCTCAAGTCGTGTGTCCACATCTATTGCCTATGTTTAACACAGGTCTTGTTGGGGATACCAAATCAATAATGTGACATTAAGAGGGACCTTACAGATCATCTAGTCATGATTCTCAAATCTAGCTGCACATTGGAATCTCCAACTCACAGAGGAGAGCAATACCCAAAGAAGCAAACTTCAAAGTCAATAACAAAAGCTGGGCCTTCTACCCAGACCTTATGCTATGTCAGATTATATATGAACAATATGCTAAAAGTATAAAGACATGTACAGGAATGACATATACCCAATTAAGGACAGTGATAACCCTTAGGGGGAAGAGAAGGAAATGAAACTGAGAAGAGATACACTTAGGGGACTTCAACTGCATGGGTAATATTTTATTTCTAACACTGGGTAGTGATACAAAGTATTTATTAAATTAGTCCCATTATTTTGGATGTCTAATAAAATTTTATAATTAAAAAAAGAACAACATGGTACACAAAAGTAAACTCAAAATGGATCAAAGACCTGAATGTAAGTCATGAAACCATAAAACTCTTAGAAAAAAATATAGGCAAAAATCTCTTGGACATAAGCATGAGCAACTTCTTCATGAACCTATCTTCCTGGGCAAGGGAAACAAAAGCAAAAATGAACAAGTGGGACTATATCAAATTAAAAGCCTTCTGTACAGCAAAGGTTACCATCAGTAGAACAAAAACACATCCTACAGTATGGGAGAATATTTTAATAAATGACAGATCTGATAAAGAGTTGACATCCAAAATACATGAAGAGCTCACACACCTCAACAAACAAAAAACAAATAATCCAATTAAAAAATGGGGACAGGATCTGAACAGACACTTCTCCAAAGAAGAAATTCACATGGCCAACAGACACATGAAAAGATGCTCCATATCGCTAATCATCAGGGAAATGCAAATTAAAACTACAATGAGATATTACCTCACACCAGTTAGGATGGCCAACATCGAAAAGACAAACAACAACAAATGTTGGCAAGGATGTGGAGAAAGGGGAACCCTCCTACACTGCTGGTGTGAATGTAAACTAGTTCAACGATTGTGGAAAGCAGTATGGAGGTTCCTCAAAAAACTCAAAATAGAAATACCATTTGACCCAGGAATTCCACTCCCTAGGAATTTCCCCTAAGAATGCAGCAGCCCAGTTTGAAAAAAACAGATGCACTCCTATGTTTATCACAGCACTATTTACAATAGCCAAGAAATGGAAACAACCTAAGTGTCCATCAGTAGATGAATGGATGGGACTATATCAAACTAAAATGGAATATTATTCAGCCATAAGAAGAAAACACAATGGAATATTATTCAGCCATAAGAAGAAAACAAATCCTACCATTTGCAACAACATGGATGGAGCTAGAGGGTATTATGCTCAGTGAAATAAGCCAGGCGGAGAAAGACAAGTATCATATGATTTCACTCATCTGTGGAGTAAAACAACAAAGAAAAAACTGAAGGAGCAAAACAGCAGCAGACTCACAGAACCCAAGAATGAACTAACAGCTACCAAAGGGAAAGGGACTGGGGAGGATGGGTGGGAAGGGAGGGATACGGGGGAAAACGGGGCATTACGATTAGCACACATAAGGAAGGGGGTGGGACATGGGGAAGGCAGTATATACAGAGAAGACAAGTAATGATTCTATAGCATCTTACTATGCTGATGGACAGGGACTGTAATGGGGTATGTGGGGGTAGGGACTTGATAATAGGGGGAGTCTAGTAACCATAATGTTCAAATAATTGTACATTAATGATATCAAAATAAAATTTAAAAAAAGAACAACATGAAAATGGCATATACTCAAGTTGATATCATATTAGGAATATAAATAAACATCTTAGGCTAGAAAGTACTCAAAAAAGATACTTTATGAAGCAGGCCCTGAAGCAAGGAAGAATAAAACTCAGATTACCAGCAAAAAATAACACACTTTTCTAAAGGAAAAGCAACAACAAAGGCAAAGTTGGGAGGACCCCCAGCCTATACTCTTAGAAAAGAACAATAGGGAAATTTCACAAGGACAGACTCATCTTGGAGAATAGTAACAAAAGGCTGACAGCAAGTGATGGGGGCCTTGGGTACTAGGTAGACCAGTGAGCCCCAATCCACAAAAAAAAGGAGTAGCATGACTGAAATTATGTTTTAGCAAAATAAATCAGGAGCCATGCACAGCATGAACGAAAGCAAACATCATTCTATGGACCATTAGGAGCTTCTATACAACAGCAAAAGGGGAAGAGGAGGAAAGCGCCTGGGAACCAGGTCTTAGTGCCCTGCCCCTACTCCAAACAGAGCCTTTCTGCTATTAAATTTTTTTAAAAGAACACTGGACTAAAGCACCCAGGTGGAAGGCACTGCTGTAAATAAGTATGAGAGTCATAAAGCCAAGGTATGGGTAGTAGTATTGGGGAAGAAAAAGAAGAGAAGAAAATGAATTCATATGGACTTTTTGATGAAAAACTTGATAGGATGGAGTGACAAACTAGATGGGCTAATGAATGAGTGGCTCTACATGAAAAAATCAGAAATACCAACTTGGAAGCAGCTGCTGGTTATACAGACTTTAAAGTCAGCAACATAAATGTGACCATGTAAAAATGTCTGAACCCTAAGGAAAAGCCTACTCAAGGCAGAAACGCACTGTGGCATCTTACAGGGATTAGGTAGAGAACAAGCAAGGACGACCAGAATATTGTACAAAGAATACAAAGAGATGACCACCGCATCATGGAATACTAAGGAAGCAACTGAGTTTCAAAACAGATGACAAGAGGGCGTACAGCCTTGGCAACCAATCAGAGTTCTCACACCTCCTCCACTTGACCAAGTTACTTAACCTAAGTTTCATTTAATAAGGAAAAATAAACTAACAACTAACATTACTGAACACATTATGGAGCACTCACTATGCTAAATGCTTTACACATGACCTCATTTAATCCTCACATTTTACAAATGAAGTAATTAAACTTAGAACTAAATAGCAAGTTGCAGAGCCAGAATTCCTATTTGTTAGGTCAACAAAATAAAAGAATGCACACCTAAAGTTCCTAGCAAACAATATACCATCAAAATGGAAGCTATATTTTATTATTAGTGTAATGATCAACAGGGACAACACAAAAACTCACTGTCAGGAATCCCTGTCAGTTTTCCATGTGGCAAACTCTCTTAGTGTCCTCACCTATAAAATTGGATAAATGCCTGTAATCCAACCCACTCAACAGAGTTGTTATGAGAATTAAATGAAATTATGAAATTGAAAATGCTATGAAAAACTTGTAAGTGATATTAAAATATATGGGATTAATGTCACATATCTTCCTCTCCAGGGATGCCTTTCTGCATCAACGTAAGTCTTTCTGAAGACACTAAAAACTAAGTCTGTTAAATGTGCAAGCACCACTTTGAAAAGTATACATCACTATGCAATGGTGATATAATGCCACCCACACCTCCTAAACCCCTTCAGGTTCTCTAAGGCACCTGCAAGGGCAGTGGTTCTCTTATGACTATAAAAAACTGATAACTTAAGAGTACAGCCAATCAATAGAGCTTTTACTTGAATTCAGAGTTGCTCAAGCTGGCCTACGAGCACTCTCTCTCAGATACCACATTACTGTCCTTCCAAAACAGAAAAGGTAAAAATTGTTTCAATTTTCTTCAAGAGTAATACAACTGGGTGCCCAGGCAATATAGAATTCAAATACTTCACAAAATACCAGAAAGAATCTAGCAAGGATCTGATAGCAGGTCTATTTTGGAAACCCCTCTACAACCCCCCCTCCCTTTTTACACCTGAACAGATGGTTTCCAGGCCTCCATGCTCACATGTCTAGTTATCCAGTTCATTATAGCTCACAAAGGTCCTACCTTTTTAATTATTCCATATTCTTGAATATACCACCTTTCATCTAAAGATCTCTATGTATCAAAACCCAAGAACCCTTTAACCTTCTCAACAGCAGTATCTGGGACAGAGATCATTATCCTTACTTTGTAAATTAAAAATGAAAGACTAAGGTTAAACGTTTTTATCCACAAGGAGTTAGTGATGTTGATTCATTCTTGGGGAGAAAAATGCACATTATGAACTTATATCAATGGACAGTTTTGATTTAGTTTCCTAAGATCCTTTCAAGTATTAGTTACAACGTTATCAGTGTACTCTTACACTTCCCAGGTACCAAACATTAACAGTAAATACCCAGGCATCACTATTTTTACATGCTAGAAGAAAAAAAACTATGGGGGAAGGGGTTCTAATTTAAGATTCCTACTGTCTTGCATCCATAAATACTTGACTCGAGAGCGGAGTGGGAAGGAACACCTGTCAGGGAAGCGTATCCACAAGTTTTACAGACGGTGTAGCTATTAATATTTAATTCCTTACACTGTAAATAAACAACCGCCTTCTCAAAAAAAGGGGGGCAATATTATGAAAAACATTTGACAAGAAAGTCTACATGCTTGCAAGAAACCCAAAAATTTCCCAGTTTTACGTCTCCCAGGCTTCGTGAACTGGCCACGAGGGAGAAATCTGCCCGCACCAGGAGTCCGGCCAAGGGAGCCTGGCGGTGCCCACCGGCTTTCCAGGCGCCAGGCCCCGCCGGCCGCGGGGAGGCGAGGCTCCAACTCCCCGCGGGGCCCTCGCCGGGCGCACAGACGCGACCGAGCCCTCGGGCCGGCCTCCCGACCCCAGGCACGCCAGCCTCGGGTCCCGCAGTCGGGGAGGGGGTCACGGCCCCGCCCGGCCTAGCAGCCCCGGACCCACGGTCGCCGGCGCCGCCGCCTCCTTCTCCCCCGCTCCCCGCGATCGTTACCTCTTGGGCGCCGGCGGCTGCTCCATGGCGGTTGGGGGCAGAAGGAGGGACCTGGGAGGCGGTGAAGGCCGGAGAGAGAAAAGGAGCAGAGCCCGGGGAACCACACAGGGAAACTCCAGGAACTCCGGACCAACTTTCCCGTAACTCCGCGGCGGATCCTCCTCCGGATCGAGAGCGCGGCTCCACCCGGCCTGCCCCGCCCCTCGGCCGCCGGCCGCAGTCCAGCGAGGGTGGGCGGAGCCGGGCACCGGGGAGCGTGGGCGGAGCCGGCCGCGGCCCAGCGAGGGTGGGCGGAGCCGGGCTCTGGGCAGAGTGGGTGGTGTCGGGGGCGGAGGAAGGGCCGGCCGTAGTGCTGCGCGGATTAAAAAGGGGCTGAAAGTGCAAGTGGGTGAGGCCGTCAGGACCCAAAGTCTCTCTATGCTGGTCGGAGGCATGTTCCTCTGATGTGGCCCAGATCTGCAGCACTTCACTGGTCTTCATTGCTTTTGCCCCAATTCGATTTCTCTGAATTCCCAAGGATACATCCCAAACATCTCTTGTAACCTTTTGAAATATTACTAACTGCCGCGGCTTCTTTCTCTAGTTCTGTTTATAATTATTGGTTATATTTACCCCAGCCTTTCAACATTTCTAGCTATAGTACTGGGAACTCTTCTGGAATTCTTGTTTGATGTTGACTGTGAGCAAGGTCCTCATTACATTTCCTAATAATTACATCTAATTCTGAAGAAAATACTGCAGTGAGCTCTTTCAGTGTGCCAAATTCAGTGCACTGTAGTCTTGCTGGCTGATCAGTTGGGTAAATAACCTGGAAAGCCTATCACAAATTATGGTGCATAAAAAAACCATTCAATGAAAGCTTGTTTCCTTCCCTCTTAACACCCTCTCCCCATTACCTGTTCCCAAGGCCTGCACTCCTTTGTAATTTGACCCTTCCTGCATTCATATAGTACCATTTAACTTTAAATTCCACATGTGGATATACTTCTTATGACCATATACATCTGCTATGTAATGAATTTGCTTGTTTTTGTTGGAAATTACCAAAATATAGAGTCATATAGAATCTTTTTTTTTTGGAGATTAGAACAAAGAATGTGAAAAGAATGTTGAATAAAGGAACTTAATGAACATTAACCCAAGTTAAACTTGTCTACTAACAGTTTTTCCACTTTTAGCATTATTTCGTTTCACTGTGTAATAAACTTAAATGACCTGTTTTCAAACCATTTTATTTCTCCTTAAATTTGGTTATGTTAGATGTATTCAAAACATTCATTGTTGAAATCTAAAGCCAAATTCTGTAAACAAGAGAAATTATTACAAAATTTTAAACTCATTTGTATTTATTAAAGATCTACAGTCTACCAGTTCAGAAGTACCAGGACCACAAAAACTAAATCATTAAAATGTTAAAGCTAGGAAGAACTTTTAAAATTATTTCGTTCTATCCCTCACTCTCATCCTCACTTCCATCCCCTATTCCCATCTCATCAAAAAAATGTCTTTCAGAGAAGCTCATTTCATTAAAATGGGCTCAAATTGCTATATTTTAGAATGAACTCCAAATTATGTTACCAACTTAGTCTCCAGGAAGCCTTTCCCAGTCAGGCTACCAGAACCACCATCCCACCAACTCTGACATGTAAGTCATGGAAGAGATGGCTCTCTCACATATGCCCATAACACACTGTGCTGACTTTCCCATGATGCCTATGGTAGTGTATCGAACTTCTGTTTATTTGATGATCATCCCAACCCAACTGGGAGTTTGTTGAGAATTAGGCTATGTCTTTATTCTCTCTATTCCTTGCATAGCAAGGGCTTTGCACATAGCTTCCTTTTGCCCTCCCCCTCTTAGCACCCCCATTCACTCTCCACACTTTTCTGTCTGCTCTCTGCCCTGGGGTCTGACCCTTATGGCTGAGGAGACCAGGTTCCCACCCCTCTGGCTTAAACTGAGTCTGGTGACAGGAAGACCAAGCAGGGGAGAAGTAGTGTTAAGGCTTTTTATTCCCCTGGTTCCACCACTATGAGGTCATCTAGGGCCCAATCCTCCTTCCTTCCCCGTGTCCTTTTGCGCCTATGGGTGGTGAATGCTCTGCTATTCCCTGTTCCCTAGTTTCCCCTGGATTTCAACCCTAACCCTCCTCAGTGACCCTAATTTCAGTGCATCTTCAAAAGGGTTTCCTACTGGAATCCTGACTGAGATACCCCTATGGAAAGTTTGTGGAAGGAGAAGGAATATTGGAAAATAAATCTCTGAGGTCTCCCCTCAGTTTGAAAAGGGAGAGAGCTAACAAGTATTGACTCCAGTGGAGCCAGACAATGGCCTATATGATCTCTTTAGACCCTCAAAAATACCTTGTTAGGTGAAGAAAATGGGGAGTGAAGAGAGTTACCCTAGGACAAACAGAAAATCTGCATTCTAACCCAGGTCCTTCTAACTCCAAAGCCAACCCTTTTCCCACTTTGTTACAGCAGTTAACAAATATTTACAGAGCCTTAACATATACAAGATGCTGTTCCAGGTTCTGGGGATTCATCAGTGAAGAAAACAGACAAAAAGACAAAAATTCCTGCCCCCATGAGGTTTACATTCTGGTTGGAAAAACATACGATGAATGAATATCTACTCAATAATGTTAGCTACTGAAACTGGTTAAGAAAGAAAAATGAAATGGGAAAGGGAAAAAAAGTAGAGGGGAAGGGAAGAAATTTGAACAGGTTGGGCAGGGAAGAAGGAAGATGGCTCCAGGACAAGAACAGTAGGTACTAAGGCCCAGAGGCAAGTTTTCAGGGTGTGTTAGATGTTACAATAAATGGAATTGTTGTTCTTCTGAATTACTCAGGGGAAAAAAAAATACCTCAGGTGCCTGTTTTAACCTTTCTGTGGAAAGACAGTCTGAATATTCCGAGAAAGAAAGCATAGAAATCAACTTTCACCCTGCAAATAAGAGGGAGCCCAGCATTCACTGTAGAAAAATTTGAGATACAGGTAAGTGTCACTCAGCATCACTTAACTGTGAAAGCTGGGTAATCTGTTTCCACTTGCAACCATTCCAGTTAGGATATGGATTACGTATGTATTTTAATTACACTAACAATTTGCCAGAATTCTCAACTGAGTGTTCTGAGAGAAATATGAGGAAACTCCAATTTGGTTCCCAGTTCCTTTGAATAACAAAACTGGATTTGTTGCCACTGAATACATACACCATCATGTTTTATGGGTAGAAAAACACTAAAAAAAGTTTCTTGCTGCACTGGTTGCTTCTGTTTATTGAAGCTATAAGTTTGTATTAGTCTTTTTTCTCATTTATATATATATATTTGAAAAACAGTACTAATTAACAACTGTTAATCTTTTCTGCTATTACCAGGAATTTTGAGCTCTCTGAATATATTTGGTCAAATATATTACATAACATAACTTCTTACTTGGAGGGGAAATCGGAAGCATTTCCTTGCAAGAGGAAACTTTACAGAACATTTTCACTTGATCTGTTTCACTTTTCTAATGTAATTATGTAGTTAGCCTGGAATCAGCATGTTGCACTTGAATTCAACCACTATCCTCTTTTACCATAGTAGTCTTAAACTTTTATTATGCTCATCTGTTTCTCTGACCAAACTATAAGCCTTTGGGAAAAAGGGCAGTATCTTCTCATATATTTGTCATCTCAAAAGCCTAGCATATCAGTTAACTACAAGTAACATCTCAAATGATTTTTAAAACAGGAAGAAGGGCTGATTTATTTAGAGATTCAAGATGGCAGCATGAGAGGTGAGACAGAGAACTCCTAAATTCACAAATAGTATGAAAACATAGTTAATTAATACAACTAACCCTAAAACAGCAACAAGAAAGAAGGCTGAACCAGACTGCATACAGACCTCATGAACAGAGCAGACCTCATGAAACAGGGTAATGTACAAAAGCCTTAATCCAGAGGGACCCAAGCCCTTCCCCCACCCCAGCTCACCGGTGGGAGGAAAAGAAATGGAGCAGGGAGGGGGTGGAAGCCTGGGACTGCTGAACACACAGCCCTGGAGGTCTGCTTTGTGAGCAGAAACCTATATTATGTGGTGCTTTGAAGAGTGGGGAGCTCAGACAGGCAGAGTGCTTGGGAGACTGAGAGTCCGGCCGTTTGAGGAGGAGGGGATCCACATCTGCCTGCTCTGTGTCAGCAGAAAGGCAGGCAGTCTGAGAGGCTTCCTAGTAGCTAGAGGGCTGCTGAAGGGGCAGGGTTTGCACGGAGCTTGCTGCGCACTAGAGAGGAGAGCTGGATGAGGTTGTCTTGGTGCATTCTGCCCAGCTGGTTGGTAATTTTGAGGAGCTTCAGGCACCCCATCACCCTGGCTGCCTACTCAGCTCTGAAGCCTCCCACTGTGACACGCAGCCTGCTGCACCTTCCTCCTGGCCCACCAACACCAGTTCCCAAACCAGCAGTCACTGTGCTGGTGTCAGGCCAGCCGGAAGGAGGCCCCAACCACAACAGCTAGAGACGCCAAGCACACAGGCTTACAACTATGTGCTTGGCTCACTGGCTCTGACACTGGAGACAGGCACTGCAGACAAGAATCAGGAAACAGATCCTTCCTCCCACAAGGCACTAGCGCTGCTCCCCTATGAACCGCAACTTCACTCTAGGGCTGAGCAGCTCCAGAGACCGGAGCTTCTGGGCACTAACTGGCACCACACAGAAATATGAAACATCAAAAGAAAAGGGTTCAGGCCGAAATCTCACAAACCCCAGAAAAAAGGCCAAATGAAACTGAACTCACCAATCTTTGTGAAAGAGAGTTCAAAATAAAAATTATAAACATGCTTATGGAGGTACAGAAAAATATTCAAGAACACAGGAATGAATTTCAGTTGGAGATTCAATCATTAAGAAATTTTATATCTGAAATGAAACATATAATGGAGGGATTTTAAATCAGATTAGATATAGTAGAAGAGATGGTAAATGGAATAGAAATTAGAGAAAAGGAATACAAAGAAGCTGAGACACAGAGAAAAAAAAGGATCTCTAAGAATGAAAGAATATTGAGAGAACTGTGTGACCAATGCAAATGGAACAACATTCAAACTATAGGACAACCAGAAGAAGAGAGAGAAAAAGGGATAGAAAGTGTCATTGAGGAGGTAATTACCGAAAACTTCCCCAATCTGGGGTAGGAGATAATCTCTCAAGCCATGGAGGTGCACAGAT